GCCTAAAATTTCGATAAGGAAATACGTATTGCCGTTCCTCACTCAATTCTAACCATGTCAATTTGTCGTCTTCATAGCATGAGAACGTAACTACCCTTGGCAATAAATCCTGTGGTCCATACTGCCGCGCGAAGAAAAAATGCCTTAAGATCCTTTAGGCATCTAAAAAGCCAAATCTCCAGAGCCAAATCTCCTTCGACAAACCACGAATTTCCAAGATTTGTAAATATTTTTCTTCATACGTAGGAGAATTTCGTTCGTATAATTTGATCTGAAGTAAATGAAAATATCAAGGTAAAATATTAAAGGCACCTTTCGGGCAAAGCCCATCATGTTTGCCTAGGCTATTTGTTTTGTGCTATGCAGTGTCATCACTGATGATGGGCTTTGCTCGAAAGGTGCCTCTGATATTCAATCAATTTTTTTCAATATATTTATTGCGCCGTTAAAATGTATCCCTTTCAAGAAAACATTAACCGAAAGCGACACGAGGTTTTCGCGTTGATACGGCGTTCAGCGGCGCGAATGACAGGCCTCACTTGTAATCTGTAGCACGTATCTGAAATCCCGCGGCTCGTATCATGATCATGATTTTCCGTGGTGCGGCCGCGGGGCCGCAGCGCGGCGGGCGCTGTTTGACCTTTCGGGCCGCGAGTGGGCTTGGCTCGACCAGGGACTTTACCGACCAATGAACGGCCGCCATTGGCGCTGCCAATTTGCATTCGAAAAGCCGGATATTTTGTGTTTACTTTCACGGGAAAAGTCGCGGAGTTTGATGGTGGATCCTGTTACCAACTCGGTTTTATCACATGCAACTTATGAGGGCCTTATCCTTCTTGTTGCCGCTTGGTTCCCCTCACTGGAAAAAAAACACATTGGATCTAGAGTCCAGACTCTTAAAAACATCGGCAAGAAAAAGTACTCTTGATTCAATCAGAATCTAGCTTAAATCAAGAACCAAGCCTCTTAATTTAAGCGGAATTAGTTTTGATTCAAGCATACATCCGATTGAATCAAGAGTATTTTTTCTTGTCAATGTTTTCAAGACTCTGGACTCCAGATCCAATGTGTTTTTTCCAGTGCTTGGTTCCCCTGGGTCAGTGGCGAGGTGTGAATGATCGATTTATCGAAATTTCCCCCATTGAAGCTATGGTAAAGAATAGATTATTGAGGCGTTCGTTGCGAGCACTCTGTTTATGAATCCTTTTCTATAGGTTTAAATAGAAGAGCAATCGATACATCGCAAGGCACGTTATGCCACTGCTCTACGTGCCATCTGGTTCCTAACTCACTCTTAGTTTGCTGACTATAAGTTTATGTCGAAATTCCATACATAAAGTTCTGTTGCTATTCTGCGGGGTTTTTTTTTGTATTTATATCTCATTTATTGAATTAGTTTGAGAACTTGGTGAAAAATTCGAATATTTTTCACCTCCACAGTAATAACCTTCTGTAGACTTTAACGTAGAAGTAGAAAAGTTGATCGCCTTTGCCATTGATTATCTATAATAGTTTAATTAACTGGGACTTAATTTTAAGAAATTTTCTTGTAAAACTTGTACAAAAATTGGAAATTTAGGAATTATCAAACCATTTAAAATTTCATGATTCAATCTAAACCGAACATTAAAATTGATCATTACAGAAAACATCATCTACGTTAAATCAGAAGCGTGGCTCTACCTATTTTCTGAGCATACTTGAAAAAAAAGGAAAAATTTGAAATGAGACACTAATTTTTGTAGTGGACCTCAGACTTTGTTAAAACATCACTTCAAAATCCTGGTAGCTTCCATATAGAAACAGAACCAATCAATCCAAGGCAAATCAGGTAATTAGTTCAGGTTTAAATTTTACATTGTTTGAATGGACCACTAGACAAGGTACGAATTTAAGCGATCTGATACATGTTTCTTAACCAGAATTTCATGTAGAACACGATTCACACAACGAAAATTACTGAAACCAACTCCTAACGAAAATATTAACGTTTTTATTTCACATTGGTTACGAGGAATTTGAACTGCCCGCTCATAAGAAACTCAAAGCTCTACGTTAGTCAAATCGCGCACTACAACGGTTTCAGCAAGCTTCTCAATCGAGCAATGTTCATTTCCCACCATGTATTGTTCAAACTATCAGCAATATGCTATAGCTGAGCCAAAGCGTCAAGATTGAGGTTGCCAGATTTTTATATCGCAGAGACTGTCATGATATAACGTTTAGCGCACGATGTGAATTACGTAGAGCATTGAGTTTTCATGAGCGGGTGGTTTGAATTCACGCATCAAGAATCATTAAATATCTTCGTGAGGAGTTGATTTCGGTAATTTTCGTTGTGCGCATCGTGTTCTACGTTAAATTTTGGTGAAGAAACATGTATCAGAATGCTGAAATTCATACCTTGTCTAGTGGTCCATTATACAAATAAAATAATGATTGTGAAGAGAAAGAACTCTTACTATCAATCAACGTATGACGTTCTTTTAAAAATTAGAGCAGGAGAGTGGTGCACTCGAATGCTTCTCTTTAAAGTCAGTCTCTTTTTGTAACATTACAAACATCGAAAAAATATTTTCATAAAATAATTTGAGATGAAAAGGAAAAAGAACAGTCAAATATTTACCGAAGCGGTTGACTGGGAGATTACCTTCCTCAGGAAATGTAAACGAGATATAGTCGTTAGATGTGGCAACTAGTTACCATGACCGCATCAGGGCGCTCACCTCAGACTAGGTTGTTTGAGAGATAGAGAAAAGGTGAAACCGACTTTTTTTTCTCCTTACGGTTCCTTTTGATTAAATTTTTACACCTCTTTCTCTTGTTTTCTAGCTGGAACAAAGGGTCGATTTAGCGTGAATAGATGAAAATCTAAAGTAGGTAATCAAACTGTGTAAAGTTACCCATAACGTTGGCGACCAAATCAACGTATGACTAGGTATTGCCTAGCTTTTCTTATTTTTATATTTTGTATTATTATTTTTTTATTACTTTTTTACATTTAAACGTGAACGTGTAAAGCTCTAGTTTTTTTTTTGTTGATGTTCCCAAAGGAGTTAAGAGACGACGCGGTATGGTCACAAGCGTTCCTTGTATTCAAACGGTAGCGGAGCAAAGCACTTTCAGTGGACAATTTTTGAATGAAACATTCTTTTTTTACACAAATAAGAAATTTTTTTAAGAAAAATACATAAACTTCAAACACTGAATATAGTGAGTTTAAATATAATGACCTGCCGATTGCCGTTTTAAATAATTCACGCATAGACGACTAGTAACGAGTAAAATGAGAATTCATTAATTCATTGAATAACTGTCACAGAACGCAAGCTGGTTTTAGTCTACCTTATAAAATGAAGGCGATGTAAAAAAATTTCTGCGGATCTTTCCACCCCATAAATTAGGCCCCATTGATTTAGCCTACCTCAATTTTCTCGTCGGAGTATGCGATGCTTTTGGGCTTGACTTCAACATTCACATCGCTTCAGGTTTTTGTATTACGAAGTGGGTAGATTTTCAGTGGAAATCCATCATTCCAGTTTTTAAAATACTGTTTAAAAGTACCAGTCATTAGAATCTGTCAGCAAATACTTGCAAGAAAGACCGCATTTTATGTTCTTTGATACATTTTTTGCTCTGGAAATTTTGGTCATATCAAGAGCTTTGTTATTAGTCAGTCGCAATACTGTAATTAAAAAAAATACTTCTTATAATTGTAATGTTTGGTTACAATTTTTCTTTCTTTCTTTTTTTTTGCCTTTATATTTTGAAATCATCTAAAATGGAAGCTCCAATGACGGTCATCAGGGCCGGATTAAGGGAGCGGCCAATGGGCCGCGGCCCGTGGCGGCAAATCAAGGGGGCGGCAAATTTTGCACTTTTTTTAAAAAAATCGAATTTTGACAAAAAATTATAAACGAGAAAAGGCGACAAAATCTCTCATTTCCTGAGACTGAGAGTATAGTAATTTCTAATTTTGTCGTCTTCAAGTGATACAAGAGACAGCACCTTTAATTAGTCGAGTTAAGAGAGAAACCAAACACGCCATTTGGCCTGGAACGGCGCGACTTAGAGAGAAATGATGACGAGGACTTGAGATGAAAATGAGAAGCCCTCGGCGCGGCGGTCGGCGTGTAATACATATTGGCGCCTACAAGACTGCACGAATACTTCACGCATTGCATCAAACACAGTGCGGTCACTGCGGTCAGCGTGAAACGGATAGCGCCTACGAGACTGCGTGAATACTTCACGCATTGCGTCAAACACAGTGCAGTCTGCGGGGCCCGGCGGCGGAAGAAAAAATCATTAAATATTTGTTCTTTTATAATTTGTTCGTTCATTTCTTATGAGTGGAAGGCCTTGTCCACACAGAGATAGGTTTACGGAACTTAACTTTCGCGCTAAGTTCCGTGAACTTTGGCTAGTAGTGTTAGCAGGGCTTTCCCAAAAAATGTGTCCAACATGCACGAGTAAACGCGTCTTATGCACCACTCCCCCTCTGGCACGTTCACTTGATGGTTTTTATTGATATTTCAAAACGAATGAGAAGGGGCGGCAAAATACAGGCGGCCCATGGGCGGCAAGTAGGTAAATCCGGCCCTGACGGTCATGGGTATTTGAGAGAGGAATGAGCCAAAATGTTCCACAAGTTTTAAATGCAGGGAATGCATTTTTATGCAGAGGAAGCCAAGATGACTCAACGTAATGTCACTCGTGAAGATTTGGTTTAATTTTTTTATGGGGTGGCATTTCAAATAGATTTTTACTGTATTCCAATTGATAGTTCTTCTTTTTCAATTTTCTTGAACTTTAAATACTTCATATTTCTGAAGAAAAGGAAACAACTGACGGAAATGTCCTTCTTTCTACAAAAGCTTGTTCCTTCTACCTTGAGTGGATACCTAACTGACTACGTACCGCTGACTATATACAGTCCACGCAAATAGAACATGTTATAATTGTCTAAAATCACAACAAGAAAAGAAATCAAAGGAAAATGAAAACAAACTTGTAAGTGGTTTTATTGAGTTTTATAGCTTGTTTTCTGTACAGATTTGGAAAGGTAGATGTGTAGGTACTTAATGATAGTCACTTAAAGTAGAATACACTATTTCATTACTTTCTGCTGACTGAGATCAAATGATTGTTAATGCTACCTAGAATAATTACTGTGCAATGGTTTAAAAACCCAAGTTAGAATAAAATAGCTGCAACTTAAAAAAACAAGTCATTTGAAATTAATTAGCACATTAAAAGCATGTTTAACTCTTTATTTTTGAACTCATGATTTTACAGGAATTTAGTAAGTACGCTAAGATACTACCTAGGCAACGGTGTATCAGGTAAAAACTATGGCAAAATTTTAGGGGCACAGGAACGTGCCGGTGACTTTTTTATCCGTACTCAAGATCAAAGTTTTAAAAACATAACATAAATAAAAAATGAAATGAAAACAAAAAAAAAAGTAAAACAAGTAGATTTCAAAGTTACACATTGAAGCTCTGGGGATGAGCTGAAAAGCAAGCAGTGTTCATGTAATGGAGGAAAATCAGAGGTACAAATTACTTTAACCGGTGACTTTTTGCTGCTTCATCTATTATTTTGCTACGAGATGCTAATTTAAAATTAACACAACTGAATGGTTCCTATTCTTAATCACTGGATCTTAAATACTACAAATTCATCAAACAAAGAAACAAAAAAAATAAATAAAAAAAGAGCATATTAATTTTAGAAGAGAGAAAGAAAAAAAAAATTCAATTTTCATATTGATAATTAATCATACGGGATTATTTTCCTGAAAACGTGGTCTTTGATTTTGAAATTTTTGCATTCAAAATAACTGGGCTTTCCTCAGCCATGAAACCATAAGTTTTTACTGTATTTGTAGAAGTGTCACATGGTGTTGGAGATTTTGCTTCAAAATGGAGAGAAGTCTCATTATAACATCTTACAAATTCTCTGAAGAATAGGAGCACACAGAAGACAGAAAAAAAGTTCAGGTTAACATTGATTTTGAGATTCTAAAGTCAAGGCTGAATATGAAAAAATTAGTGACATGTTTAAAATTTAAACTCATTTGAATTTGACTTTAATCCAAAAGAGACCTTTTTCGAATTTCGATTATTTTATTTGTCCTTGAAATTAAACAGAAAATCTTTCTAAAAACTTCAATTATTGATTTTCCCTCTAACATAGGTACGTAAGTAGGAATGCCCAGATCAATTTACTTTTTGAGACTGAGTTCCCAATTTTACTAATTTTTTTCTTTTTCTGCGGATATTTTCGGACTACAAATTCATTATGAGTTATACTTCCTAGTAACCTTCTACTACTTTGAGTTGTACCTGGATAAAGTTTTCTACAAACTATGTGATATCTTACACAAAGATGCATCCCTTCTCTCCACATAAGACTAATTCAAATCTCCGCATTATTCTGAAAAAGATATTATGTCACCTTTTGAAGTAAGTTGGTCAGTGTACTATACTTTTACAGCTTACCAACATTTGATTTTTTCATCTCCTTAACCTGTGAATTGTCATGAAATTTGGTCACATAGCTTTCACTTGTGACAAAAATAAATACTGTGCATGGAATGATTTGAACCAACCTAATTAATTAATTAGAGAAAATATGAACACATATGGCACCAAGTTAACACAGCTAAGATTAAAGAATACCTACACAGGGAAAAAAATACAAATGGTTCCATTTACAGAGAGGATCAAATAAATTAACAAAAACTGAAAGGATAGTATCATTAACAGAGACAAATTTCTTCTGAGTTATTTTTTGCTTTCGAAATTATTTTTCTATGGGGATAACTGAATTTGAAAGTTCATTTAAATACCAAATGGATAAGAATATTAGTCATCTTTTTTACTCCTTCGATGGTTTCATTGTTGCTTACCAACATTAATACTGATAATTTTCTGAGATCAGAGTGAATTAGATGAATAATTTTCTCAATGTTCTTTCAATTATCTCCCTGCTTCATCTTTAGGGAATGAACCTCTTCAAAAAATAATTCAGATGCAAGTCAATGTAGGTAATTATTTTCTGTGAGTTGACTATTTCCATTTGAAAAAATCCAAAATGTACTTTATTTATTGATCTTTTTAGTAGGTAATAGTACAATTTTGTAAAATTTAGGGAGGAATTTGTTTATTATGGACTGACATTTTTATTACTATTTGTATGGTACCTCCAACAACTACTTTTCTCTTCTTTTGCTTTAATTTTGTTACATTTGTCTACAAAAATTGCTGCATCAAATTGCATACGTGCGTGTAGATTCTAAGAAAACACAAGAAATAGAGGAGAAAAATTGTATACAATAAATTAAAGTTGTTGGTCCTAATCGTTTTGAAAATTGTAAACTCTTCGCTCTTCGCCAATCTATTTTTACATTGAATTGGCTACACCAATTTTGAAGAGATATGCGGCAGAATCTTTCTAAGAAACATAAGGAAAAGGGGAAAAAGATAAGTTGCCAATTTTTGTCAAAAAACCAGAACCCACAGATATTTCTGAATAAGAAAATGAACAGGATGCGCAGAGAGAAAAAGATCCAAAAATCTACCCTCCTGAAGAGTTAATTTTTTAAAAATATTTTGAAAAACAATTAATGTTTTCCTATGTAAACATAACTGCGTAAAAAACTTGGTATTACATTAACAGTGCATTAAAAAAGAAACAAGGCAAAAAAGAGAAAAAAGAGAAAAGATAGAAAATTGTGATGGTTATAACAATGACCTTGCCATATAGAACAACAATTATTGTGACAAGTTTTGCGAAAAAGAACAAAAGGAATGTAAAACACAAAGTGAAAAATGTCGAAAATGAGGCGAAAGAATGAAGGTGTACCAGGCTGGAAATAATAGTTCAAACAAAATTGGACGCATTTCTGCTAAACGGAACTATGTGCATTATGACTTGAGCCCTATTGTGCATATATTTCTTATAGGTCTCAGGGCTCACGTCTTAATGCACATAGTTCCGTTTGGCAGAAATACGTTCAATTGTGAGTAACAAAATCAATTCTCATGATTTTGTCTCAATAAAATTTCAAAAGAGACAAAGTGCAAAATTTACTGGTATCCTTAAGAATTTGTAAAACAATAATCTACCTAGTTTGATTTAATAAATAAAGTGTACTAGTAGACCTTGTCTTTTATTATTTTCGTCACTCATTACTCTAGACATATTTTATCCTTAAGTTCAGGGATAATGTTCAGAGACGAAGAATTAACATTATAGTTTTTTTTGGGGCTAGGTTTTCATACTTGTAGTAGATTTGAAAATATTTTTCATTTGATTATAGGAAAAAATATTACATCACCTGCTTAAGTAAGAATACTGATGTAAATATCAAACATAACATTTTACAACAAAAATTCCTTCAGGACTTTCAATATTTTCGACACCTGACACTTTGCCAAATTAAACAAAGGAAAAGAAACTATTGAATGCTATATACAGTTACATACAACTTAAATTACTTTTTACAAATTTTAATCATTTTAAATGATTTTCACAGACACTTATTAGAATGTATTATGCCTAAGTACCTATTTTCATGCATATTTCTACTCTCTTTCGTAGAGAAGAACAACAGGAGAGATAGTCCCCAATATTTGCATATATTCAATTGCTTTGGATAAATTTAAATTTTAAACAGAAATGAAGGGTTAGATGTGAACAGAGTTTGAACAATTAATTAAAAAATTATTGCAGGGGCATCACTTTTATCTTGTGATGATATTCAGACAAATTGAGGTCGAGAAATGAAACGATAGATGAAAAGGAATAAAAATAGTGATGAAAAGCCCTCTTTCAATACTAATTATATTCATTTCACATGTTTAAATCGATTCGTACAATTTTTAATTTTTGGTTAAATTAGATTCTAAAATTTAAAATGCAGCTGCCACGTTTAAATATTTTTCGAAAAATGCTTCAAAGATTTTTCTGTCTTTTTTCCTGATTAATTTTCTTCAGACTATCTCAAGAATAATTAAGGAGGATACATTTTCATGTAGCTAATTTCGTGGACCTTAGACATGATGGAAGCTTGAAAAATTCATTTGGTTGAAATTGGACCAGACAGTAATATTCACAAGATGGATCATTTTGTGAATCATTAATGTGAATAGCTTTTGAAGGCCTTTACATACAATTAAAAAGAAAAAAAAACTAAGAGGTGACATTTTGCTCATAACTTCCTGTCTGTCTGTTCCGTAATTTGATACATTACTTAACATATTAAAGGTAGGTCTGAACATAGATATTTATCAGTAAAGTCCTACTGAATTTTTGACCATTACTTAATCACAGAAAACTTGAATTTGCACTTTATACAGTGTTCAGCCTACGGCTAGACTGTTTTCTGCATGATTCGAGAGGTTGATTTTTTTATTACAACAAAAATCATTATTAAAAACAATTTTTAATTTCACCATCGTACGAATCTAGAGCCATTGGGGGTAAATTTTACACCTGAATTGATGTATGTCCATCAGAGGCAGATACTTAAGGCATCTCAAGCTAATGCAAATTTGACGACTGCCACAGCAGGAATCTCAGGTCTCGTTTTCCCTAACGGATCAATACAATTATAGGTAAAGCAAACGTGAATAAAAATTAGCAATAACACATTTAACTCCTCACACTAACTCCATTTTGATGTATCAGTAATAAGAAGAAGCTTTTCTGATAGGATATTCTTTGAAAAAATGTTTGTTTAAGTAAGTATAATATCCTTTTAAGTATTCGGTTCCCCTTATCAGACTGAAACACAATCTGTTCGCACATTTTCCTCCCTTCCTGTTCAAACAAGAACAAGGTGATACAAATATCCTTCAAAATCATCTTTCACGACTATTCATGAAGGTTTTTACTTAGAAGTAAATTATTATGTGGTCCAGAGAGATGCCTTATGAGTTCTTGGAGAGACTCAAACGTGAGCTGACAGAAGCAGCAGTTGAAGTGGCTGCCTTCTGACTCGCCACCTGCAGAGATCACATTTCGGTGTACAGAGCATAAGTGCTTGAGTAGATGTGCTTTTTGCTTGAACATAGCGACACAGAGCCGACATGCGAACGGTTTCTCACCGGTGTGCACCCGCAGATGCGTTTTCAAGTTCCAACTCATTCCAAATTGTTTGCCACAATACGAACATCGATATTCTCTTGAGGAACCACTTCCAGTTTTTTGTCCTGTAACTTCTTCACTTGTACTGGTTTCCTCTGTGTCGCCACTCGTTATTGATAGATTACTCGCTCCTCCTGTGGAAAAAACAAGGACAAAATATTTAAACTCAAGCCTTTCATCCAATTTTTAGCCAAATCGCAAAAAACTGACACTTTTTAACGTCCATTACATGTTTTTATACCATTTGAGTACTTTGTTTTTAAGCATTTTATTTTATTTAACATTCGTGATCAGAAGTAGCTAGCAGTAACTTGGATACGATTCTGGACTATAAATGTTGTACTAGTAAGACTACTTCTCTCCAAAGAAACTTATTTTAAATTATGCGTAGTTACTGTGTGGTGCCTTTAACTTTGATGAAATTAGAAAAAATGTTATTTTCCCCATTTCAATTCAAGGTGATTTTTTTCCTTTAATTTCTCTCTCTCCGTGTTGTAAAAAAATATATTTCATAACCAACCCCGAAATCTTAAAAGGTTTGCTTCTCCATAAAACACCATTCAATAGTCCAGGTCTGGAGAACATGAAAGAAAAAAATGGAAGTCCTTAGATCTGTGTAAGAAAACATGCAGTAGTAGGGGCTATCATAACTCATAACTCGAGGAATTAAAACGCCTTATATGTAATGAATGAATAGGAAAGCAGCTGCATGTTTTGTTGCATCCACGGTATTTGAAGGCGCTTTAAATTGCTAGTGAGACGGTTTTGGACCTCTCCCTTTTGCATTTAATCAACTTAGAATTATCCTAGTTTTTAAGCCATAAAATGATGAAATAATGCAGCGGATTAAATAATTTGATTGTTTAATATAATGAGACATCATAATTTTTGGGATCTTACACTTTCTCTTCTGGCTTAAGGTAAATTTAGGTGATCCAAGCCCCAGAATTTAGATGGGCCGAAATTGTTGAAAAGGACTTGGCACGATGGAGGTGCGAGTATAAAGAAAGAAGATTAAGGATTTAGGGATGAAATATTTTTGGGATTTGCCTTGGACTCAGAAATGATTGGTGGCTTCTCAAAGTTTGAGTGATTGCTTAGTAAATGTGCATGTTTGAGATTGTTTTACTGCATACGTTTCCCGGAAAAGTAGATTACAGGTGGGGATTCCCATCAGGGACCTCTCGGAAAGGTTCCCGCTGCTACTATGAATGAGCCAGTTCACATTTAGATCAGTCTTTGAAGGATAGGATGAATGTTGGAAAATCTTTTCAGAGGCTAAAGTTTACAGGGAAATGTGCAATTGAATTAGTGAGAACGAAAACGCACCAACTCGGTATCTTGAAAATGCTCAATTTTCATTTGAGACAGCCAATTTTCATATAGATAATTGAAGTTAGCGCATCTGTTCCAACTCGGACCTTTAAAGTGTCCTTAAGTACTTGTTTTTCGGCGCCAAAAATCTTTTTCTCAGATTAACTTCTTCATTCACCGTGCAGTTTTGTCTGTGTCTTGATTACTGTTATTTTTTCGAGTTGGTGTGTTTTCGTTCTCACTGATTCAATTTAAGAAGGAGGATTTGAATTGAAATGTAAAGTTCTGGTGAAGACTTACCAGATCGAGGATTTTCTTCATTCCTAGAAACTATTTGGCCGACTTGGGTTTGACAGATGGCCCAGGGCCCCCAGGGGCTGTCCAAGCTATTGGCTAAGTTGAAGGGGTAGCCGGCGGAGCGGGGCGACGGCGCCGAGGGGTGGCCGTCCTCGCTCGGCGGCCGGTACTTAACAACTATTTCGTCGACCGAACTAAGGGGGTGATTACTAGAGAGAGGTGGGGTTTTCGAGGGGGCGTCTATCAGGTACGGCGGCGCGGAGGAACTGAGCGGGTGAGCGTTCCGGTGCCGGAACAGCGGCTCGTCTATGTACGAGGGCGAGAAGGGGACGAAGGGTGGGTTCTGGGCGGGGGAGTTGTGGAAACCCGGGCGCCGTTTCCGGTGCGGGGTCACCACGTAGTTTTCCGGGGCCGTCTGCTGGCTCAGGGCCTCCGGGTCGGGCAGCTTGTGGGGCTCGTCGTCGTCCACGGCCCGCAGATCCTCCAGGTACCGGGATTTCCGCTTGCACAGGATTAGGCTTCGGGGTTCCTCCTCCAGCAGCCGGACCGCCATCCTCTCCGAGATGTGCCTGTGCGCCTCTTCCTCGGGCGAGTCGGATGTGGATAAACTGTTCACCATGTTTTTCCGCTTCTCAGCAGCCTGCAACATTAACGAGGACGTCAGAAAAATGTCAAGGAAAATCAATTGATAAGGGCTACCTAGAAAAATGTCAACACAAAAGTTTGGTACCTAAAGATGGGAAGTAAAACACAAAATAACGCACAAATAACGTGACGTGGATAAACTGTTCGCCATGTTTTTCCGCTTCTCAGCAGCCTGCAACATTGATGAACACGTCAGAAAAGTGTCAAGAAAAGTTCCCTGGTAGAGGGTGCTCAAAGTCATGGTAAACCTAGAAGACACCTCGCGTTCACTGGAAAAAAAACACATTGGATCTGGAGTCCAGACTCTTGAAAACATTGACAAGAAAAAGGACTCTTAATTCAATCAGATTTAAGCTTAAATCAAAAGGAGATCCGCTCAAATTAAGAGGCTTGGTTCTTGATTTAAGCTTAAATCTGATTGAATCAAGAGTATTTTTTCTTGCGGATGTTTTTAAGAGTCTCGACTCTAGATCCAATGTGTTTTTTTTCTAGTGTTGAGGTAGAGGAGGTCTTCCTAACCCAGATCTGTGCTTCCACTTAAAAACATGCAGGAACTTTCATAAAGTGCCTGTTATTCCCGCTCAGTTAATTTCGAGATGTAACTATTGAGGAAAACGTATGCAAGCAACTATTCGTGCTCAGTTGTAGTCATAGTTGCCTATTCAATGGATTGAAGGAGCGACGACCTTCTTCTCGTTCCATCGCGCGGCATGCCTGCCGAACCTTCATTAAGACTTGCCGAGACTAGTAAAATACGGTTTATGGAGATGAAAATAGATGCAAGACAAAAAGACATGTGAACGAAACTTATTTTGATTAAAAATAATTCATTGCAACTGAAAGTGCGAAGCGAAAAAAATCATACTCAGAATATCAGCGATAATCGTGACTTTATTACATGAAAGCTAAAAATAAAAATTGAGACGAATCTTTAATCTTTATTCTTTCTTTTTCTATTCGTAAGAATTGATTTAACTCGATTGATTGATTGGGCACAATAAAGAGTTCCTACGCAAGAGGAAAATAGTTGGATGTTTTTCTCGGGGAATTTTCAATAATAAACTTTATAATACAAGGAAAACTTCTTGAAAAAATGTGCGATTATTTATGATTGAAAAAATGACCCATTTCAGACTGAATTTTTCAACTGTACTATGCAGTTATGTCAAAATACGCTATCCTCTCATTCCATTTCACACTCCAAATAATTCGTAAGCAAAAGTAAGTTTCACAAATTAAAAATCATCTGATAATAAAAGATGCAGTTTATACTTTTTGGCTTATGAATAATGCGCAAACTTGTGGTCATAATAGTCTCATAGAAATATTTTCATCGCGGAGAAGAGCCACGAGAGCTCTTTCAATCTTCAATCAAGGACAGATACACCGTTGCCACAATCGATGATGGATCTCAAAACTTTACACTTTGACTTGCATGAAATCCGAGAGAACATTGTGCAAGCGCCTGTCCACGCACAAGGAGCGGCTGAATTCACTTTGGAGGTCGGCCTCTCTACTCACAGTGGGTCCAATGGTCATGTATTAAAATGAAAGATTTGAACGCATGACCTCAAATATTGTTGAGGTGTGACAGACACATGATGTCAAACGAGAAAAATATTATTCTCTTTTCTAGGGTAAAGAAAAATAGGGCAGTATGCTTTCGTTCGAAGAAAATATTATGAGTGGCGCTAGCCACATAGCCACATGCAAGAATACGAATGGCGAGGAATGTTCACATTGTTCACGCACACCTGACTCTAGCTACACATACCTTTCAAGCCTACGTAGGTCTGATATTCTTTGTAAAGACACTGATAGCCTAGGCTACTGCATGTCTCTAAATAAATTAACTAACTGACTAACTTTTTCAGAATAGGCGTCGCAGAGCGCCCAAGTACGCCGTAAAAGCGGCTCATACATACATACTAACTTTTTCAAAACTTTGAAAATGAGACGTAGTGTTTTCAGCGTCAGATATGCTTTTCATAACGGTCTTTTTCCCTGAATTTAGTTTATTAGCCACTTGTAAAAGTTCCTCAAAATCGATCTTTAGGATGAGGATCATTGCTCAAATTTATCCAAAAATCATCTCAAGTATCGATCGGCCAATCGGGATTTTTCCTGGTGTTTCTGCCTGCCTGTCTACCCCTAAACGTGGAAATATATTCTTCAAACAGTGTCCTTAACATTGAGTCTTAGGGACCGTCCCTAAATTACGTAACACTCCAGGAGAACAAGGGTCGAGCAAAGCGTTACGTCATTTTGTTTGTACATATTTAAGGATAGGGACCTACATCGCAAAAGCGTTACAAGAGGGTCAAAAATGTCGAAAAAGTGCGTCACGAAATTTAGGATACACTGGAAAAAAAACCAAATTGGATCTAGAGTCCAGACTCTTAAAAACATCGACAAGAAAAAATACTCTTGATTCAATCAGATTTAAGCTTAAATCAAGAACCAAGCCTCTTAATTTGAGCGGATTTCCTTTCGAAAATCTGAATGAATCAAGAGTCCTTTTTCTTGTCAATGTTTTCAAAAGTCTGGACTTTAGAGCCAATGTGTTTTTTTTTTTTTTTCCAGTGTAGGTCCTTTAAGGAGGAACACAACTTCAAACTTCTTTCTCTTGGTTCAAACTGAATCGACTTGTGCGTTTCTTGTAAACTAGGTCCAATTGACGTCGTTGCGGACAGGTCTAAATGAGCGACAGTCCTTTTCCCACTGCGCAGCTGTCTATGACTCCGAGAGCCAAGCGGTGACGTCACAACCGTGGACGGGCTCTCATTGAAACATCACTGGCTGTTGACGAAGTCGACCTTGGAGCGTGAATGATTACCGCACGGGGAAAAGAGAAAAGACGGGAGGTAGAAGAAAAACAAGGAGGAGTGGCGAAGGGCGAAGACGCAGAATGCCCCACTTGAAGATTTCGCGCTCGCTCTATGCTCCCGTCCTAGACCAAAACAACGTATGAGCCTTCAGGCGTTGCCAAATTCCCTCTGACAAATCACTTATTTTCAGGAACACTTTTGAATATTTTCCCGCCGGTTTCTCAGATAATTTTGTTCGTAATTTGATCTGAGGTGTCTGAACATTGTGTCGGAAAAATGGATTGCATTTTGCAAAAAGGAACCACTAGCATTGCAATGATGCTAAGATTGTGCAACTTCATCTTTTGCAATAAAATCGCGGAAATCTTGAAAAACTACGAAATTTAGATGGTAATTTTTGTCTTAAATTTACAGTTTTTAGCGAGTAAAATAGAAACTATTAAGGGATAATCGGGTTTTTCCTCCGAGACAAAAGAAGTTGCACAATCTTAGCTACATTGCAATGCTAGTGGTTACTTTTTGCAAAATGCAATCCAAATATTCATAATTTTCCTCAAAAATAAACATTTTATCCAACGAAATTTGGCAACTCTGGAATGTTCATACGACGTTTTTCCTTTAGTATGGCTATGGCTATGACTATGAGTAGGTATTATCTCTTCCGTCTTGGAGGAACATCACGATGAAGCTCTACCCACTGCCGCTGCCCATCCTGATTCCCCGATGCGCGGCCGCGGATGGCGCTGATTGCAAACGTGATTTTCATGAAAATTTCATGTCCGTGACATCATCTCGGTGACTCACGGCTGCGCCTCCTTCGCTCGCGGGCTTTTTCAACGTGCAGTTGCACGGAGAGGGGGGGAGGGGGTGGCACGAGTGATAGTGCAGCCAGAAGTGGAGCGGAATCAATGCGGGAATGCGAGGTTCCATGCATGATTATTTCACGATCCAATCTTCTCCGCATCGATGTTTATTCTTGGACCTATGTCTTTTTCCGCACTCATCAATTTTATCCGAATGCTTATGACGTATTGAAATATTGATAGCTTTCAAGGGCGAATATTATCGGACCTCTTGTTAGCATTTCCTACATCCCGGAGATTGAAAGTTTTTGACGGACGGCTCGACAGAGTTTGAAATTCGATGCATCTACGTTAAACTGAACAATATGTAAATGTATTCAATTAAAATAAACCTGAAAATGCGCTTGCTTATAAAAGAGCTTCTCGTTAAAAATTCTATCACCGATCCTTTTAAAATTGAAAAACATCGTAGGACTATGATTCAAAGACTGGAAGGAGGAAAAAACGGACGGTCCTACAACTATATTCCATGACTTTTCCATAGGCAGATTCGGACACTTCCNGGGGGGGGGGGGGGGGCGTTAAAGGGGCCCAGAGGACTTCGCCCAGACAAGTTTTGAAATTTAGAGGCATCTAATGTACAAACTCCGTGATAGATAATCACAAAATACAAGCTTGCTTCCCTCTGCTTTCCTCCGTTCCTTCCCTCTTTCTTCGTTTTTCTCCCCTCCTTCTTTGAAGCGAACGAGGGAAGAGCGTACACCCGGTACACTCCCCCCCCCTACCTGGATCCCCCTACGGACTTTTCATGGTTTGGCAAAATTCCGAACTTTCGCAGGTTTTCCCAAAGACTTTTCACTAGCTTGCCACCCTATCTACGGTACTTAATTGGTTCCCATGGATAATTGGCGAGGGGCTTACCTTATTACTAAACGCCTCGTCCTTGTCCTGCGGGTTGCTTAGCGACAAGTTGACGGGGATGGAGGAACTTCTTCTTCGTCTTCTTCGGCGGACATTTCTCTGCGGGGAGCCATTACCATTACCATTATCGGACTCTGGTTCCGGGGACGCGTCCGGGTCGGTCTTGATGACGACCTCGCCCAAACTGCAGCTCCTCTCGGGAGCCCCGGCCGACCCGGACCCCGTCTCCATGCGCTCCTCGTCGCTGAGGTCCGACTCCTTGTCCCGCGGGAAGACGAGCTCGCTGGAGCGGGAGTCGTTGCTCGAGTCGTCCTTGTGCGAGTGCGAGTGCGAGTGGGATCCCTCGCGCGAGTGCGCGTCCCGATCGCTGCTCGAGGACGGGAGCTTGTTGTCCCACAGCTCGGATTTGATCTCCAGCAGGGCGAACAGCTCGATCACCCCGCACATCTCGTTCGGCTGCAACAGGACGAACGACCAAATTATGAGAGAGGAAATGCAAATGGGAAACTTGCAACACTGGAAAAAAAACACATTGGATCTAGAGTCCAGACTCTTGAAAACATTGACAAGAAACAGGACTCTTGATTCAGTCAGATTTGAGATTAAATCAAAAGGAAATCCGCTCGAATTAAGAGGTTTGGTTCTTGATTTAAGCTTAAATCTGATTGAATCACGAGTATTTTTTCTTGTCGACGTTTTTAAGAGTCTGGACTCTAGATCCAATGTGTTTTTATTCCAGTGAAGGATCATACATTTTAAATTGGGCGTAAACCTCTCAAACAGAACTAGAGATAGGTGGGAGAATAAGGGGTGTGCTTTTAAGTCAAAGGCCTTAAGAATGAATGGGAATGGAGATGTTGCATGTGTGAGGAATTTGCGATTTGACTGCTGATTCTTATGTAAAAGTTCGCGAGAAACACGACGGTGCCACTGGTTTTCTCTGAAATCAACTCAATCAAGCTCAAAAACAGCTTTCAAGTTGAGGCCTTAATGGAGGGAATATCCCATTCTACCCTGAGAGTCCACGTCTACATCAAGACAAACCCTCCATGCGAATATAGGGAGCAAATACATCAGCAGTGATGCCAAGTTTTTAGTTTTGGAGTCCCCAAGTAAAGTGGCAGCTCTGTCAATGTATTTGCTCCCTATCTTTGCATGGAGAGTTTGTCTTGATGTAAACGTGGACTCTCAGGGTAGGGTGGGATATCCCCTCCATTTTGGCCTCAACTTGAGAGCTTTTTTGAGCTTGGGAGATGATTTCAGAGAAAACCAGTGGCAACATCGTGTTTCTCGCAAACTTTTACATAGGAATCAACAGTCAAATCGCAAATCCCTCACACGTGCAACATCTCCATTATAAAACGCTAGTCAAAAGATCAACTTTATGGGTGGCCATATAACCACATGGGTTCACTGACGCGGCCTAAGGCAAATGAACAGTAAGCGGTGATGAAGAGCCTTCAATTAGACACAACGCAATAGGCCTTACTGCGCTCAATCAAGATGTTGGGACTGATGGAAGGGGCGTTTAACACTTTAACTCGCTCATGAAGAAAAAAGGAACACTTTTTGCCGTATTTCAGTTCTGATACATAAAAATAACGGTCTAAAAAGCATGATATGTCTACGTGTAATTAGAAACAAACAAATTTTCACACATACTCACGGAAACAAACAAAAATGAAACAGTACATTAAAACTTACCCTGATATTCACTGTTAGAAGAAAAATAAGACTCCAAGAAATCAATTTCGTACAGACATGTAACGTAAATGTTAGACAATAATATAAATTTAGGAGTGGTTTAGAGAGATGAATATTATAAATTTTCACCGATTTAGTGTTGATGACAACAAGACATTGTACTTTATTTTTTCCTTATTAATTTAGTTATTCAGATATTTAGGCTAAAATTGTGATGATAATCAGGCAAAACCTTGTTAACAAGCACATAAACTCGACCATAGAAGCCAAAATATGGCTTCCACAAAAATCTTTTTTTATTTTGCAATAACTTCTCGCTCATTTCAAACAGACAGGAGACAGCTTATGCATAATTAAAGACTTCCGATACATTTATTATATTCGCTCGAAGACAGAAACAAACAGTCCTTCGCACATTATTTTCTCTCTTATTTTCCCAGTAATTCCTGACGTACGTCTGGCTGTTTTTACTAGAACATCTGCAATTTTTAGAAAAATACTGGACCTCAATAGTTACATGATCAAAGATTTAATTTAGAGATATTAATGAACTCAAAACAAACGTGCGACTCCATGTTATGTAAAGAACTGATGAAATTAAAGACGACATAAAAGCAGTTAAAGAAGCTTCATGCGGCGGTTTTCTTTCTGCCACTTTGAACGCTGACGTATAAAATCCAGTAAACTGTAATAGAATTAAGAACGCTTCTCATTTTCAGATTGACATGATCATATAGGATCGGCCTAATTTTGACGAGACACATAAAGTGAAAACATCAGAATTCAGAAGGAAAGTTTTTAACTTTCGCTAAGCTTCAGCAAGAATAGCTGTGCCGGAGGGAGGCGAAATCTTCATTACTTAGAGTCATTTATTTTAGAAATCTAGTCTTTCGTTTTATTTGTCCCGGAGACAATGTGATTTCATTTGGTCCGATTTTCTCTGGCACCCTCCTATGTCCTCAAAATAGAGGAAATTAAAGAAACATAGTTTCAATCTTTGCGCTTCTTTATCTGAAGAAAAATGAAATTAAATTGAGAGGTTATTTATTTCGGAGGCAAAATATGACCTGTCAGATTGATGTCTATCGTGACACTGAAGAATGAAGCCTTAGGCTTATCTTGATTTTTGAGGGCTCAAGATCAAAATCTGCATTATCCATTTCCAATTTTTCTTGGAATTCTTACGTTGTGTTTATTCCTTATTTTTTCTCATATACCTCAATTTCGCTCATAAAGAATAGCGCATTTACATCAACCATTTTATTTTTCGCAATTCTTATGTAAAAAAAAAATTAATAAATAAAAAAATGATCCTGCATGGTTAAAATATTTTCTATCAAGAAAAAGAGAAGACATAAGTAGAACATGAAAAGGTTGCAAGGAGTACAGGGTGAGTAGGTTTTTGCTTCTGCATTCCCTGCGAGAGCAAAAATTTTTATATGAAAAACTTAATTTAGCTATTGTTGCAGCCAGTGAATTTTAGTCGTTGAAAAGTTATTTCTTAGTCCCAGGTTTAAACTCTCGCAATTGCTGTTTTTTTCTATTTAAATTGTCTTATTGAAATGGAATAATAACACTTGTAAAAATTAAGGACCCTCGTTTCATTATACGTTAAAATGGAAGGACTGAAGCAAAATTTAAGGAAATGATAAACTGAGATTTTGGGAAAAGGTAAATGTACAAGACATAAACGTGATTTATCTTTGCCTCGGTAAGATGCTTGTTCTTGGCCTAGGCCTATCGGTGTTTTTCCATTTGGATCTTTCAGCGGCCTCAGAAATTTGTTTCACTGTTATGTAAAGAGACTTCAATGAAAAATGCGTGTAAAGCCATAAAACACAGCCCCGCAGACAATTTTAGACAAATCACAAAACGAAAATATGGTTGATGTGCCCGCCTCAAAGCTTCAAAATAGACTAAGCAGCGAGCCAATTAAATTTAATGCGTTTCTTCAGTATTTATCAAGAGTTTTACAAATTACACGGAAAATTATTTTTGACCCGGTCGTTAATTTTGAAAGCTGCGGTGAAAAAAGAGAGAGCACGAAGAAAAAAAGCCAAAAATAAAACTTGGACAAATTGCTTGCGCCTCGGGTCCGAACTCAAGACGCGAAATGTGCAGCGTTGTCATTCAAGATCAAGAGGAAATGAGGAAGAGAAAGACCCAAAGAAACCAATTAGTCACGATTATAAATTCATGCCGGGAAAAGTATGCATCCGTTGAGATCAAAACGCGACGCGCTTAAAAATGAACAAGGGGAGTCGTCTCCTTCCAATGCGTAAATGGAACTTTGAAAGACTGACGACTTAGGAGGGAAATTAATAAATTTTCCTCGCAAGTTCGAGAAAAATATGTAAATTACTGTTAAAGATGTATGCAAATAAATTAGGGGTAAATGCATCCAGTTTAAAGTGAACCAAGAAAAAAAAAATCCCCCGCTTTTACTCGGAGTATAGATTTTTTTTATTATGTTTTATTTTTATTTGCTCTCAAACTGCCGACAAAAGAAATTATTTGGTAAATTAGCTTTAATGCATTCATGTCTAATGTTATGAGTGTTTAGTCGCTAGGTACACAGCTACCAGTTGCGAGTATAGGGTGAAATAAAACGCGGTTTCGAAATTACTGACCAGACTCAAGTGTTCAAAAACAACGAGGAAAAGTTAGAGGCCGAATTTCAAAATCTTCGAAGTAGGAGACAATGAGATTTAATCAATGCCTCGAACAACGTTGTTCTCTTTTTTGAGTTCACAATGGGGAAACTTGGTGATGTAACACGTCTGGGTAAGGCGGAAAAACTTACGATTTTAAATTTCATCACAAAAAACGGAACGACATACCAAAGAAACACTGTGAAGTGCGTCAGAGGGTTGTGAGTGAGCACGATTAGCCGGTTTGAAGATTATCTTTTTTCTACTTTTTTACTTTGATTCAACTGGTAACTCTTTAAGTTTTTGCTCTGGGCCTACAACTAATCCCTTTATTCATTGGTCAATTGAATTTTGAGGTATCTGATTCAGTAAGAAGTGACATCGTTTTCAGTAGTTACAATGGAGAGCCCGATTGAAATTTAAATTTCTCAAAAATCAAAGTGTTGTATTATAATGCGAATTTACGAAATCAAAAATAAAAACCGAACCATTGATTGTTTCTGCAAATTCATTTGTCAGTCATACCACAATTAATTGAAAATGTCCTAGATGAGACTTAACCCCTACCTCTTTTTCCGTGGTTTGGTTGACCTAACTGAAGGAAAAGTAACCTAAAGTAACCGTAAACATAGAACTTTCACATACATACGTAAAAGATGCTTTCATGGCGCTCTTCGGCGCTCTGCGACACACAGCCGCCAAAGTCCTCTATCCTCCCCAAGCCCTTCAGGCAGTTGGCACTCCCTAATTTCCTGTAGAAACCTCTGTCGCCACCCTTTCACTAGACGTCCCCTTCATCTCCTCTCAGGAGGAACTCTATCAAGTATCTTCTTCGGCAGCCTTTCTTTCGTTATCTAGAGCTTTTTAACATAACTTTTTTAACTGACATAGATGCATTGAGCGCATCCTATCATCAGTGTTTCTGTGGTAGAGATGAGCCTTTATAAATATTCCATGGTGGGTGTAGAGGTTGGCCTATTATCCAGGAGGTGATAGTGCCCCTCTGTCCATCTTTGCTCTGTTTTTCGGTTCGCACTGATTCCTACCTCGGTCAGTTGCATGCTCATTTTCTTGTTTTAATTTTTAAATTTTTTAGCTTCTGTTCCAGTTGAGAATGGGCATGTAATTGGCCCGAAACGTCCTGGTTTGTTTTATGTCTCCTCTAGCCTTGTTTACCCATTTGTTTTTTGTATTTTAGTGTGTTTTTATTGTTGAACTTTTTAACTTTGTATATTTTTAAGTGTGTAGTAGACGTGGTGCATTACCTGGACACAAGCTTGACCGGTGTAGAGGAAGTCGAGCATGGTTCGCATGTGGACGACTTTGATGTCGGGGAACTGGACGGTGACTTGGGGCTCGTGGGTGGGGTAGTCTTTGAGGAGCCGTTTGATGAGGGGGCTCACCGAGGCGAGGACGAGGCGGTGGGCATGGAGGATTTGTCCCTTCTCGCAGATGAGCGTCAGGTCCGCGAAGCTCTCGGCGTCGAACCAGGATCGGATCTCGTCTACCAGCGACATGTGATGCTTCCCATAGTGCAGGGTCAACAGACCGCTCGAGTCGTTTTCAGAGCCCAACATAATTTTTGTCTGAAACAGATCACCCAAAAACTCTTGTAAACAAAATAAAACACTGAAAATAACATCGCGTAGCTCATACGCGGATCCAAAAGGAGGCGCACAGTGGAACGAGCCAATAGAGGAGATTGAAGATGAAATTTTTGGCTAAAATTGCAAATTCAATATCAAGGGGTGTTCTTGGAGGAAAATTTCATGGAAAAACCGATGAAACCACATTTAAACTCTTTTCTTTCGTACTTCCAAAAATATAAGCGTTCGAAGTTTCCAGATTTTTTCCGACTTTTCCTATTACTTCGATCCACTGTGGGGCGTAGGGGGCATACGCCGCACCCTCCCCCGAGGTTCGCCCGAGAAAAAGGGGGGATAAAGAAAAAAAGGAATAAAGGAAAAAGGAAGGAACGGAGGAAAGAGAAAAGAGAGCAGCTTAAATTTGGTAATTACTCACGACGAAATTTACTCAAATTGCATTTTAGATGCTTCAAAAATTTGAAAATTTTTTGGGGGAGGCCCGCGGATGCCCCTTCCGCCCCCCTTTCCCCCGTTCGGGATGTCTAGATCCGCCCACAGCGTAACGTTAATCAAACCCGTCATATCTCCTTTAAAAGATATGTAAAAAAGACCTGTGTGTGATACTGCAGTGATAAGGAAGAAAGCCTGTGGACGTTGTCACATTTTTGGGGATAAAGTGCGAATTTTTGAGGCATTTTGTCGATATTTTTTTTCCTAATATTTAGGAGAATTTTTTTCAAAGTTCCAATGTAGACATGACTGATTTAATTCGCAATATCCAATTCGGACACAGGTTGCCCGTCTTTCTGAAAACAATGTTGGATAGAGGAAACACGAAACACAAATGGACGTATTTCTATCAAACGGAATTATGTGCATTATAACGTGAGCCCTGTTATGTATGTAGTATTATGAGTCTCAGGGCTTATGTCTAAATGCACATAGTTCCGTTTGACAGAAATACGTCCAAATAAGAAACCGAGCACACACAATCAGCCTACGTTTTTGACGGGATTCGTGGGTAGGTATATGACGGAAGTTGTGGGAAAATAGGAGAAAAGTATGAGGAAAGTTGCACAAAATGCGACGGCGATGGATTTGTGAAAACAAAACAATGGCTCTCTCTGAAATAACAAAATTAAATAAGCAATTGAAGTAACTACGGTGACCTCTAAAGGTGTAAAGAACCATGCAAGGTCAGTTGCACTTTGCGATCTGAAGCTAAGCTTTTCCTAAAACGTTCTAGAAATCGCAGATTTTTCCAACTTTAGCTCGGTTGAGTCGAGAGGTTTTCAGTCTTCGACTCTGTAGGCAAAGAACTGCACATCACTTTATCCTAATATTAGTATTTGAGTCAAACACATGGTCCCTCCTGCAGGCAACTAGATGCTTCACCATCTTCATCCTTTTAGGCAGGATTTGTTGTTTCATTGAAATTACTTATTAGTTCAAGAGTGCCTTGAGATCTCACCGTCACACAGGGCCGGATTAAGGGGGTGGCCACATGGGCCACGGCCTATGGCGGCAAAATGTAGGGGGCGAGAAATTTTGCAATCTTTTTGAATGTAGGTATTAAAATAAGAGAGAGAAAAATCGGATTCAGAAAATAAATTACAAACGAGAAGAGGCGACAAAATCTCTCATTTCCTGAGAGTAAAAGTATAGTAATTTCTAATTTTGTCGTATTTCGGTGATACAAGAGACAACACCTTTAATTAGTCGAGTTAAGAGAGAAACCAAACACGTAATTTAACCTGGAACGGAGCGGTGCGGGCCGGCGGTCGGCATGAAACGCATAGCGCCTACAAGACTGCATGAATACTTCAAGCATTGCGTCAAACACACTGCGGTCAGCAGCAGTCGGCGTGAAACGCATAGCGCCCACAAGACTGCATGAATACTTCACGCATTGCGCCAACACAGTGCGGTCGGCGCGGTGGCGGAAGGTAAAATTATTAACCACATTTATGTTTGTTCTTTCATAATTTGTTCGTTCGTTCTTTTTAAATGGAAGGCCTTGTCCAAACAGGGATGGTTTTACGGAACTGAACTTTTGTCAGTGTTGACAGGGCTTTCACAAAAAATGTGCCCAACACGAGTAAACGCGTATCATACACCCCTCCCCCTCCCCCACCGGCACGTTCACTTCATGGTTTTTATAGATCGTATTCGACAGATCACACAGGTGAGATTATATTGATATCGATTGATTCAATATGTAACCACAGATTCAAAAGTCAATTTAGACATCTGAGGTAACGGGTCTTATGTGATCGAAGTTTTATTCTCTCGAGAACCAAATGGCACTGAAAAGTGAAATTGTTAGGAATTTTCTCATTTTCAGCTTTTCCAAACTAAATCCTAAAATTTTAGTTTGAGGTTATGTTCTCCTGTTTTGAACCAAACTATACATCGAACCACTGTCGATTACGATCTATTGATGTTTCAAATCGAATGAGAAGGGGGCGGAAAAATACAGACGGCCCATGGGCGGCAAGTACGTAAATCCGGCCCTGCTGTCACAATGTTTCTTCGATAGATATACAATTATAATAATGTATAATCATATGGGTCCGTGCTTGTATTCAGTCAACCCATATATTTTTCATATCGCCATATCTTAAGGTAATATTTTGGCCAGCATTTAAAACCCCGACAAAAGGTTGATGAGGATGGTAATCCTAAACTTCGCGCATTTGAAGCGCAATAATAACTTAAATTTAATTTTGTTTCCTATTTTCAAATGTCAAAGAGGTTGAAATAAAGATAAAACAATGGAGACACATCAAAGTCTAATACGCTCAAAAATGTGGTAATGCATGAGGAAAGCTGTTCTGAAACGCCGAACAACCCAGGCGCGTTGCTGCGGAAAATCCATCCGTACGAAACGCCAATCCGCCTTCATTTTCAAGCCTATGCAATACGCACGCTCAAGGAGTACGAATAGTTGTATCAACCATCAAGGAGTTTTTTTTTACTAGTAGCGATTGAATATGGATAGCGAGAATCGAAAAATGCGTACCTCTGATTGTAGCGTTACACATCATAGCTTCTGTTATGTTTTCATAGTATTTTTAGGAAAGTAACCAACACATTTTCTTTGTTAATTTTCTGTGAATTGACAACTTTTTACATTCTGACATCGTCACCTTCCGGCCAAAGTATCACAAGCGCCATGCGACGTTACAAAATTTCCGCCACGATTTTTTTACACAGAAATTGTTCAATGAAGCTATCCGTAAATTTTACTGAATTTTCTATGTACTACCTATAAAATTCAGTGAAATTTTCAAACAGATTCAACCAACAAAATTTCTCAGTAAAAAATAAATTGACGGCAGATATTTTGAAACGTAGCATGGCGCTTGTGATACTTCGGCCGGGAGGTGACGATACGTTTAATCTTTAAAATTTCACGTAGAACACGATTTCCACGACGAAAATAACTGCTTTTATCTCAAAACCGAGGATTTGCCGTTTTTATTCAGCATTTGATACGACACCCAAGTCTTAGAGGGCGCTGTCTCCAATCCGTAACGATTTCCGCTGTATTTCCCGATGCAAATTCTGAGGGGCCGACCGGTAATGGAACTAGGCAATCAGCACAATCAGGACGTCTGGCAATCGAAATCGATACTTGGATCAAAAAATCGAAGCGGAACGAAAGCGAGAAGGGGCACGCCGCGAC